GTTCTCCACCTCAACACAAGGACTAGAGTTGTGGACTCCCAACTCACCCAAGCAGTATGAATAGCCCAAAATGACTGGGTGCCCTGTGTGCTCTGGAGCCTAGGGGAGGGTGAGAAGGAAGGTAAAGAGGAAGGCGTATCCTCACAGTAGAACATTCCGGCACCGGGTCACCTCGCTGTCCTTTCCACTCTGCTCCCTTTGACCATGCTATGTCCCAGGCAAACTTTCCCAACTAACCCAACTAGGTTCCCTGAACCTGGCGTACAAGCTGTTCATTTGCAAAGAACACTTCCCAGGCCTAGACTATAATTCTTTCATAAAAAGCAAAAACCCCATGGATTTCTTCTTTTCGTTCCAGGCTCACCCCTGGCACCATCTTCTCCATGAAGACTTCCTCTATTTCCACCAGTTAAAAGTGATCTTTTCTTTGCCCTAATCACATTTCATTAAGAATAATCAGTTTTTGTTTATATGCCAGATTACCTCTATCTGATAATAAGCTCTTAGAGAGTAAAGATAGTAGTGTATTTCATCTTTGTATCTCCTGCAAGTAGCACAGTCCCTTGCAAACAGATGTTTAACATTTACACACACACACACACACACGTACATATATATACACACATATACATAACATTTAAGGTTTGCAAAGTGCTTTACACAAATTACCTCATTTAATAATAATAACAACAATGATTGTTGACATTTATATATTGCTTACTATGTGCCAAGTACTGTGCTAAGCACTTTACAATTATTAATCCATTTGATCCTCACAACAACCCTTCGAGGTATATGTCATTCTTATTCCCATTTTATGAACAGAAGTTGAGTGACTTGCCCAGGGTCACACAACTAAGTGTCTGAGCCTAGATTTTAATTCAGATCTTCTTGACTTTGTGTCTAGCCCTCCAGCCACTGTGTCAGTAGCAGAATGTTTGCTGAACTGAATTGAGTCAGACTACTAGTGTCCTACTGCCCACAGGGGTAAGTGATTTGAATTATTTCCAGTAGTGGAAGTGGAAGCTTTATGTTTATCCAGGTACTTATCACCCTCTGGAATTGGTGGCATGTATGTTGCAAGTGCAGACTGGAGTGAGCTGTCCTTTCCTACTGTTATTCTCCGGCAGTGCATTTGTATACTCTGAATTTGCCAAGACACACCGGGAGGGGAGGGAGTGGTGGGAGTGGGTTGTGGAGAACAGGAGAGCAAATCACAACTATCCAACAGCTCAAATGCATCAGCTCTTGGAGCAAGGCCAGGACCTACCCTATATCCCAGAGAAATTACCTACAGATTTCCAGTTTGCCAGAGGGCAGAAAAACTAGCTCAATTAAAACCCATACCATATCACTGTTAACTCCTCACCACTAAGACATAGATTTGTAGAAGATAATGGACAGGAAAAAACAAAAAAAAACAAAAAAACAAAAAACCCTGCTCCACAGTCAGCAAAAATGGCATCACCCTAATTTTCAAATCCACCAAAGAAGGTAGAAGTCGAGCATGGTAAGTGAAAGAAAAGGCAGCAAAATCAGTTAACAAAAGACAAGTGGCAAAAGAGCACCTCTTCAATGAGCTGTCTTTATTGCTAGAAGCCTAGCACTGAATTCTTTCTTTTATGAAACATATTTTGCTAAGAGGAAATCTTATCTCAAATGAAGTTAAATGTTTTCCCCCATAACTCCAAGCCCAAAAAGGTACTTTTTAGTTGTTTTTTTGTTTTGTTTTGTTTTGGTGAGGCAATGCATTTCTAGACTCTTCCAAACACTAATATGCCAAAATAAAATATAACAAACACTTATTAAACACACTATATATGCAGATATGTGTGCAATGCTATGCTTAAATATAACAATTCCCTCCCTATTCCTGGGGAGTTTACTGTCTAATAAGGTGAACATTTTTTTTATTTTTTTTTTTATGAGGCAATTGGGGTTAAGTGACTTGCCCAGGGTCACACAGCTAGTGAGTGTTATGTGTCTGAGGCCTGATTTGAACTCAGGTCCTCCTGAATCTGGGGCCAGTGCTCTATCCACTGTGCCACCTAGCTGCCGCATAAGGTGAACATTTATTACCCTCTCTAGGAACACATACATCTGTCAACCTCCTCAAAATGTGCCCCCCTCAGAAATGAACACAATACTTCCAAAAAGATGAAAAGCAAAAAGAAAGATAAGAAAGACTCATATGAACTAATGACAAAGTGAAGTCGGTAGGACCAGGAAAATAATGTACACACATTGGCTACAACAATGTACATGGAAAGAACAACAAAACAATCTAAACAATACCACAAAACTACAATGGCCAAGTTTGGATCCAAACAGGAGATAAGCAAAGTCACCTCCACCTGCTTCTGGGTGGGGAGAGGGAGGACAGAGGTATGGAACACTGCACCTACAGCATTTTTGAAATATGTTGTTTAGTTTTTCTGACCTTTCACTTTTTTATTCTTTATCATAAGAGATGGCTACTCTGAGAAGGGACAGAGGAATGACAACGAAGGGAAATGCAAGTGATGTAAAAACAAAAGATATGAATAAATTATTTCTTTAAAAAGCAAAAGTATTATAATACTTATTCCACACATACAGACCTTAAATGAATCTGGCATAAATCCAAATGGTAGTTTTAATAAAGAGGTCAGCTAAGGGAAAGAGACAGCAGTCTAACACATCCAAAAACCAAAGGACACACAGGTCTGAACTGTCTAAACCACAATGATAGACTCTTTTTTTTTGAAGCACATCTAAAGGAAGACTTGCTCTCTAGTAAAACCAGCTTCCTTGCTCTCTGGGAAGTTAATTCCCATAGCTGAGTTAGCCTTGAATATTAACTTACAAACCAAAGCTATTTAAATTCAGAGGCAATATGGTACAGCAAAAAGACCGGGAGTCCAAAAACATGGGTTGGAGTAGCAGTTCTCCTAATTAGCTATGTGCTCGGCTTTGTGCCTCCATGCCCTCAATTTTAAAGATGACTACATGGATTGCTAAGGGCCCTTCCAGCACTTCACATTCTGGGGAGGGTTGGGGAGACCAGGAAAGGCCACATGCTGAAGGTGGTATTTGGGCTGAGTCTTGAAGAAAAGAGAAGAATGCTGAAGGCAGATATGGAAGGAAAACATTCTACCGACGTAGACAGCCAAGGTAAAGTTATGGTTGACGAACTCCAAGTAGTCCAATGTTACTGGTTCTCTAAGTATATGTAAAGGAGTTTGAAACACACACACACATTTATATGTAGGACTGGAAAGGTAGGAAAGGGTCAGGTTATGAAAAGCTTCAAATGCCAAAAGGAAGACTTTATTTTTGATGCTGCAGGCACCTTGACCAAAACATTTGCCTCACTGAGTCTCAACTTCTTCATGTGTAACCAGAGGGCAGTATGGTATAGTAAGCAGAACCCTGGCCTCGGAGTCAGGAAGATCAGGCCACAAGTCCCACCTCTGACACAGACACTGGCCAAGTCACTTAACTTTTCAGTGCCTCAATACAACTATCTAGATACCCACCTGTACTGGCAGAAAGAGTTGACTGTACTAATGAAATAACAGGCCTGGTTCAAAAAAATGACACCAAAAAACAAAACCATAAGGGATGAACTGAATGATGCCTAAAGTTCTTTCCAGTACTAAAATCACACTGGGGATGGAACAAGCTGGAGCAAGCACTGGGCTCCAAAATTAATCCCCACCTCGGTTTATTTTCATGCAGACAAACAGCAACTGCCTCCATATATTCAAAATCTGAGCATTACTGTTTATTTAGTTCTTTTCACTTAACTCTCTTCTCTATACTAAGCTCCCACCTTCAAATTTTAACACTTCTTTCTACCTAGTATAAACAACAGCACCATTTTAAGGAATCAAATTTCACTGTAATAGACATTAATACACATAAAAGTAGAGTAATGGGAATTCGATTTCTAAGATGGGTCAGAGATTCAATTTTCCCCTTACACGTTGAGGTGGTCCATTTGAAACATGGTTCCATTTGCAACCACACTGTTTGTGAATGGGTATATTTTAAAAGGACCACTCAGCATAATGCAATATGACTAATCGATTGAAACATATGAAAAGGCTGGAGGGTCAGGAATATTTAGCAGTAATATTTATCATACTGTTGCTATGTTATATGCTACTTAAACATTCAAGTCTAAAACCTATTAAGAAGGTTTTCATAAAATCTACACAAAACTACATTTTAGCTTTCAGGGCAGCAGAAGGCATATGCACATTAAGGAGAAGGTTCTTAAATAAAACATTAACAGTTAATTTTTACCTCATTCAGGAATTTGACATTTAAGGATTCCTTTAAAATTGTTTCTCTTCTTTTTCAAAGATAAAGTAACTCTTTGCTTTCTTATAGTTAGATTTTTTTTTTTAAACACAGGGCATTTATATTTTAACAATCATCTTTCCTTCCCCCCAAAAGCTCTATTTCACTACTTTATCTCTGCTCTTTTGAACTTGCCAAAGTATTCACATAAAACCTGTGAGCACTATCTAAATTTCAGTTATTGAGTATCTGGTAGCCCCATCATCCATCAAAATTTCACTTCTGTCAAAAATAAGGTGGTAGCTTGGCACCACTATTAGCAATGAATAAAAAAGATAACCTCAATTGTTTTCAATGTTAAGAGCTGATGAAAGCTTATTACTGAAAAATCTAACCTCTGCCCTCTGAATGAACCTTCTGGGAAAATGGTTGCCTAAGTACATTATATCTTCCTGAAGATTGACGCTGCCCTCTCTATAAACAGATTCTCTCCAGAAACAGTTAAATTCATGAGGTTACCAACAATATACAGTATATGTGACACCTACTAGCTATGTATTAATAGAAAATGCTAGCAGTTACTGAGCTAAAACATAAGAAATCTCCTTGGAAACACCCAAGCCAGTAATCCCTTTGGGAGTTTTGTTTGCTGACACCAATAACTAAGTCTCCTCCCCTGTTTAGAAAGCTACTAAAGAGTTAAAGGTACTTACGGTTTGCCCCCTGGGATTCCTGCTAGATTTGGAGGGATTGTAGGTACTCTCATGTGAGGAGGGGGATCAAAACCGACCTGAACAAAGGGTAAAACAAAACAAGAAAAAGAAAGAATATCTCAGACTTGGGAAAGAACTGGATACAGCAGGGGACAAAATACTCATTTTGACAACTTTCGTATTTTTTTTAAAGGAAAGAATGAAGGAAACACATTTATTAAGCAACTACTATGTGCCAGGCACTGCACTAAGCACTTTGCAAATATTATCTAATTTGATCCTCACAAGAGGAGATAGGTGCAGTTATTATCCCCATAACTGAGGCAGACAGAGTTAAGTGCTTTGCCCAGGATCACTTCAATAGCAAGTGTTTGAGGACGGATTTGAACTCAGGTCTGTCTGATTCCTGAGCCCACTACATGAAGAGTAGAAAGCAGGACAACATTTGATGATTCTTGCCCAAGATTTTTTTTTTACCCCTAACCCACTCAGAAAATATGCCAGAGAATACTGGCAGTTCTTAATTGTTTTTTACAAGTCCGCCCACAGAGGCAATATAATTCTCCAAACACCACAGGCAACACAGTTATTTTGAAGAAAAAACAAAAACATAAACAAAAAAACCATGCTTAAGATGAGAGTCAATTCCCCATGCCACTCTTTGAGACTTTACAATGCTCCATTTATCCACCTTCTTGCCCACAAATTATACGAACAAGTAGATGGCCCTAGACCCTACTAACAGAGCCCACGAAATGTCCAACTCAAGTGCAGTTAACATCTGATAGAACATCTACTTTGTGCATTATTTATGGTCAATTTTTAATCCCTGGCTCCATTCCTCCCTTTGTCAAACATGCTCCCTGGATCAACATTCCCAACCATTACCAGACTGTACCCATATAATACAAATTTACTTTAATAATACTATCAAATTACAATCAAGTATTTCATCTGCAGGGGACCAGGGAGAGATGAGTCAGTACTACATATATAAACTCCTTTCCCTTTCACTAATGTGATCAAACCTGCTTACCAATCTTCCTGACTTTAAAGAGGGAGAGGGAAACAGAAAGGAGAGCAGGGCAGAGAAGAGAGCCTAGGTATGAAGGTGCAGTATAGAGATTTCCCCTTCTCCCTTAGAAAGACTAAAGATATTCTCAGGAATTCATCTCTTTAAGTGGTTTTTTTAATCACAGAGGACTCAGGACACCTTACATACACATACTACACAATTTAGCTTAAAGGATGATTTTTTTTAAATGGGCATAGGCTAGACTGGCAGGTACCTTAGAGGTCATCTGATCCATCCCCTCATTTTAAAGATAAGGAACTGAAGGCCAGGGAAATAAATGACTTTCCTAAGGACATATTGGTTAAGTAGCAAAGTCAAGGTTTGAAGACAGGGAATTCTAACTCCATATACAGAATGTTTATCAAGAGTTATAACTATTTTTGTTTTATTTTTCAACTTAAGGAAAAAAAACTTGAAAAAAAATTAAAAGCCTTATGTGAACTTTCATTTAAGTAGTCTTAAAATACACACACACAACTCTGTGGTAGAGGAAAACCAGATGTCTCCAACCAGTTCAGTCCCTCGTAGCTTCCTAATACTACCTTTTTTCATCCACAAAATAAGTAAAACAAAAACAGTTTGGCATCTATTAACGAACCGTATCACTGATGAAGGCCGACAGAAAGGAAAATGTATGTAAATACACTGAGATTCTTTGTTTTTGAGGTGTGGGGTTTTGCTATTCTTGACCATGTAGCAAAGTGAGACACACAAGGAAGCAGTCAGCCCTTGGTGCTCCTCCAACCCAGGAGTTTGACAGGGCTAAATGAAGCATGCAGCTTTTCTCACTGAACCAAAACCCATCCCACTGAGATGGAAGCAGTGTGTGGCCTACCATTGGGGAGCGTCCATAGGCCACCACGGCAGCTGCAGCTGCGGCGGCACTCATCTGGGGAGACATGTTGTGTAAACTTGCGTAAGCTGCTCCAGGGCTGGTCAACTCGCCATTCATGCCAGCATGGGGGACCATTCCAAATGGAGCAGGGTATGGGCCAGGTACTGCCAGAGGTGTCCTCAAACCAGCTGCTGGAAAGGAACAAACACTGTGGTAACTCAATGTTCCAAATGGAATGTGACCTCTAATACCATTATCGCTTCTCCCATATACGTGACAGATATGAGAAGGAAGACAAAGAATGCCATCTTGGAAAGTACATAGAGTCCTTTTTTCCTTACAGCTCAAAATTAAGTAGCATGAAAGGAAAGGCACCATATAAAGCACTTTCATGAACATTTTTTCATTCTTTGTCTATTACAGTGCGGTGCAGGAGAGAAATGAAAAGTATGGAAAGTCCCTCCACTGATCAATTTGTTTGTAATTTATAGTCTTAAATAGTTGCCTGGGGCACAAAGAGATTAACTTCCTCATAATCACACAGTAACTATTAGAGGCAGAAACTGAACCCAGTTCTTACTGGTTCCAAGGACTGACCTCTGTCACTTTAACCACTACCTTCTTCTCATTTGTCTAGACCAAGGGCTCTTAACCCTCATCACAGACTCCCCTCCCCTTCTTACAATGTTTTTAAATGTATAGAATAAAGTACATAAGATTACAAAGAAAACCAATTATATTGATATACAGTTATCAAAATATTAAAAACAAAACAAAATGCTCCCAGGCCCCAGATTAAGAACTCTTGGTCTAGACAAAATACCTGCTGACTAAGAATGATCAAGTATTAATTATAAGCCCATTTTGCAGATAGGGAGTTTGTGTTACAGGAATAAAAGTATTTACTTGACCTCACTGCTGAGGAATATTTTCTTGGTAAAATCTAACCTTTTCCCCTGTTCCAACTTTCCATACAAATGAAATGTCAACCATAGTTCTGTGTAAACTAAAGAACGGTTTTAGAAGTGATTATCCTGGTATTTATTTTCTTCTGTGCCCAAGCTGTTTCTTTTCCCAATGAGGATGATAAAGTTGAGAGTTATAAGTTTATTCATAGGCCAGCTTTGAAGTTCAAATATCCCTCACTTCCTCTGAAGGAGAGAACACCATCTCCTGAGGGACACAGCTCCAGAAAACTAACCAACTAAAAGAGGCGGCAGGCACACTCAAGCCAAACACGCCAAGCCGCCTCAACAAATACTAACTAACTCAGACACACAATAATAGATTGGTAAGGAGCTTACATTCAGAATAATTATCAGAAACTTTATTGAAGCTTCTACCACTTGGATTATTTGGAAATAAAATAAGAGCTGAATGTAAACAGTCTGAGGCAGAAAAGGGTACAGCTGCCGAAAACCAAGAGAGAACAGCTGTTTCTTATCATGGCTTCTCAGTGATATGAAGGAGAGTAGCAATAAGCACATTTAATATTCATGGAGAAATAACATTACAGTAAGATTAAAAGGAGACTCATCAAGCACAGAAAAGAAAAAAGAAAAAAAAAAAACAGAGGCAATGTGTTCTACCAGCTTGGTTAACAAGGGGGTCCATTGTTGGAGGTTTGCCGAGGCCTGGACGAAGTCCTGGAGTTGCGCTGGTGCCCGGGGTTGGCACATCGCTTCGAGGAGTTGGTGTGCTGGATTTCAGAACGGGCGTGCTGGCTTTTTCATGCTGGTATCATTAAACAAATTAAATGAGTATTATTTTTAATCCAAGCCATATTACACAATTTATCACAACAGCAGCTGGGACACTGGGCACCTACTAGCTACTCCCTCGGCCAATTTTCATAAATCCACACAATGTTGACAGCATTAACTTGTGAGCGAGAAATGTTGACCTTTCCTCTTCCTGCCAGAATTAAAAAATTCAAGCTAGAAAAGCAGAACACGATCACACTTCTTCCTCCGCAGATTTTTTTATCAGTATTTTTCTTCAAGTCTATGTTCCCTGAATCACTGACATCTCAATTAACAACAAGTTAAAATAAGGACCAGGGGCCATGAAGGGAGAACTTCACACTCCTCCCCTCCAAAACTAAGCACCAGCTCCCGTTTAAGAGGCGAGACACCCCTTCTTCTCACTTATCAGTAACAGCAAGGGTAAGACCAATGGGTAGAAAGCTATGGGGCCATCAATTTCAAGAAAGCCACAGAAGTACCACTGCAAATGCATGTGACTTACAACACAGATCATAGTGATACAGTGGGAACTTGGCAAACAGGCCCAAATTTGAATCCTGCCTCTGCTCCTTACTACTTCTACCTTTGTGACCTTGGGCAAGTCAGTTAAATCCCTGGTACTTTAATTTCCTTGTCTGTTAGGATAAGGAAGTTCACAGAATCATAAATATAGAACTGCAAAGGATCGAAGAGGACAAAGAATCCAACCCCCTCCTACCCCCACCACTGGGGAAATTAAGTGACTTGCCCAAGGTTACACAGGTGGTCAACATTAGTCTCTCCATCTTAGGTCCCTCCCAACTCTAGATCTATGATCCCACGCATCCTGAATGAAGGATATGGCAGTCTCCTGTGAATTTTAGGTGGGAGAGATTATGGAAGAAATAAATGGATCACTGAGACACAGTAGCCTAAAATTACCGAGGGCAGGGGCTCTTGACCTAGAGGCCATGAACTTTTTTTTTTTAAGGTTTTGATAACTGTATTTCAATATAACCAATTTTCTTTGTAATGTGATGGATGTATTTTGTTTTGTACATTTAGAAATATTATTGTGAGAAGGGGTCCAGAGGCCTCACCAAACTTCCAAAGGGGTCCAGGACATGGAAAAGATGAAAAACTCTTGACTGAGAGTAGTGACATAGTATCTACCAGCACTAGTAGTGGGAGCTTGTACATTTTCCAACTCTTCCTACAAAAAATTAGCCAAAGCTGGCACATTGGATGTAACTACTCTAAAAGGTACTACTCTCCTACCCTCAACATTTTACAGTTCTCAGTTCTGAGTTTATACATAAACCATATGTTATATGTAAACCATACATATGTAAAAGCATATACATGTGTATACATGTACACATGATGTATATACACATATATCTATGCATATATACACACGTGTGTATGTATATGTACATATGTGTGAGACTAAATTTTCACTAATACTGGTGCTAGTACTGATTGTGCAACTTTTAGTATGCCTTCCTCAGTTCCTTAGTCAGACAACATGGACTTGGGTTAAAAAATACCACACAGTTAACTACAGTATTGAAAGAAATGGGAACTCCCCCTGCCCCAAAGTGAGGAAGAACTCTGGAAGTTTGTGGTTTTCTTACCAAAATTTCCCCTTTAAAATTTCTGGGCCCTTTGCAGTCAGCACAAATCCCCTCAGCAAGATAGCAACATACTTGGAAATTATGTTTTGTTCTGTTTTTAATGTGTAAAGACATACAACTCAGATGTAGCCCTATATTGGAACCCACAGGGCATCTAGCTGTTCACAAATGGATTCCAGCTGAGGGCCCAGACCCAGACTTAAGCAGATTTTCTAGTTACCTATTCCTAGAGGAAATAGACTATTATATACCCCAGATCTTAGGCTTAGAGAGAGGAAATTTTAAACCTTGTATACTCTGTCTCCGAAATATTATACCATACAATAGCAGAGCATCAAATATAAAAACGTAGTACAAAAAAATAAAAAAAATAAGCTTGATATATAGAAAAAAAGTTAAGTGCACATAATAAGTTACTGTAAGGTAAAGGTGTTCTCTTCAGGGATTGGTATGGGGAGGGGTCTAACAATACAGTTCTACACACCAAGTCTGGTTGGTAAGCAGAAGATAACTAAGGTTCAAGTTCCAACATTTAGAACCTATTCTAAAAAATTCTCTGCCAATCAATGTTTTTGATAAGAGATCTTATGGAAAAAAACAGACCAAATACCCTCCAAGGAGGCCTAAGGTAGTCTGCAAAACTTACCAAACTCATTTCTTTGGATTTCAAGGAAGTAGAACTTCCTGAGGATGCTGTGGATGCTGGACTGCTTGAGGCATCTTTCTTCAGCAGGCGGTTTTTGTCAATACCATTTTCCCGTGGTGAATGGGCAGGGCTTGCCCGTGGGGATGAGGGATCCTCCATAAAAATAACCAAAATTTTCAAAGATTTAGCTGATCCATGACATTTTCAACCAATCCTACCTATAAGCAAATTAATTCCCTAGACCTAAGGGGGAAAAGTGACCAGATTTGACAAATGGTAAATTTTCTCAATTAGGGAATACGTATTTTTACAAAAGGTAAACAAAAGTATATGTATATATTATAACTAAAAACAGCAAGTGATTAAAACCAAGCTCCCAGCTATTACTAGGCAGACAGAAAGCCAGGAGTTTTACCTGCCCCTCTTATACATATGAGTACCCTTTGTGTGTGTCTAGAAGTTAGCGGTGGTGATAGCAAGGCTAAACACAGGTTAAGGGCTAGAAAAGGAAAATAATACTACACACCAGACTTTGTAAGTCAAAGGAACTGAATTACGTTTTGTTTTGTTTTTAATTGAAAACTATCAATCCCATAAAGTTTGGGTCAGGTTGTTATTGCCTTATCCATGACCTAGCAATGATCTTTTTTCTTACTGAGTAACAATGACAGAAAGCACCTTTGTTTAATTTATTTTGGGGACTTATCAAACACTTTTACTCAGATCTCAAGACATTTTTGATGACACAGATCGACAGAATAATTACCTCATTGGACACATCCACAACTAAGTTGTCATCGCTTTTATCACCATCACTGTCCTAAAAAATTATTTTAAAATAGTCCTAGTTAATAGAGTGTCAAAGGTATTCAAATTCTATACTTTAATCTGCATTACCAGAGGTATATTACTGAAGTAACAATCTTATTTTTATAAGCTAAAATACATATATATTCTGATATAAATCAGGGCATTGTCCTTTTCTCTCTCTCTCTCTTAATTTTAAAAAGGACATCAAAGGCTTTACTGGATATCATGCTAGTCCTAAAACAACAGTAGTTACATTTAGTCAGCATTTATGAAGCTTCTACTATTACTGCACTAGGTACTGGAGATATAAAAGATAAAAAGACAGTTCATCTCCTCAAAGAGCTTAGAACCAAAATAGGGGTGTGGGAGAAGAAAAGAAAAATACGACATACACAAAAAATTGAGTATAACTCAAGTAGAACTTGATGGGTCAAAGAAGTGTTCTGGGATAGCTGAAGGAGAGAGAAATCCCTTTCAGAGGTTTCGGGGAGGATAGGCTACTTGAATCATTATTTGAAGGAAGAGAAAGAGTAACAAAAGACATGGAAGAGAGAGTAGGTTCTAGACTTGTAAGTAGGAGACTACATGAAGAAAAGAGTAGTGCAAAACAAGGTCAGAGAGGAACAGTTAAGAGTATAATTTGGCTTGAACAAAGAATACAGGAAAGAGAGGTGTGAATGAGGCTGGAAAGGCAGAGTGGAGTCAGATTAATAATAGAATTCACTGTCTTTCCTTCCAAATCATTCCCCCTTCCTAATTTCCCTATCAAGAGAACCACCAGTTACAGTCAAGCAAGCCTGTAATGTTGGTAGCATCCTTACCGTGTCCACACAACCAGTCTGTTGTCAGATCTTGTCAATTCTACTATTATTTCTGACATCTCTAGTTTACTTTTCCTTCTCTCCAATAACATTACCACAAATCTATCTAGTTCAAGCTCTCACCTTTTGCCAGGTTACCCTAATAACTTTCTATTTGATATCTCTGCCTAATTTCCTTCAAGAGTTAGCTGAAATCTCACCTTTTGTAGGCCTTTCCAGGTCCAACTGGCCCCGGGGAGCTAGTGCCTTCCCCCTCCTTCAGACTGCCTTCTATTAATCTGAATATACTTTGTGTGTAACCAATTATCTACATAGTGTTTCCTCCATTAGAACAATCCTTGAGAGCAAGGGCTATTTTTTGCCTTTTTTTTTTTCATATCCCTACCCCTTAATGACTGGCATATAGTAAGTTCAATAAAAACTTGCTGACTAACTAAGGAGGGCCTTTAAATACCAGGATAAGGAGTTAGTATGTTATCCAATGGGAAACAGGACAGCCATTTGTAAATCAATTCTCCATTAAGGGGCAAAATTACCATACTTTGGTTCATTCCCTACTTAAGCAAAAAAGTAACCACAAGACTAGTTACTGATTAGGATGGTCTTTATAAGCCAAGATAAGGCAGAAGACTAATGTCTAGGTTTCCCTTAAAGTCATTCTACGTTGCTTAAAAAAAAAAAAAAGAAAAACTGTCTCCAATTCACTAGACTTTTAAGAGGGGAGTGAGTCCTTCTGCAACGTGGACAAAAAGTAGCAATCATTTTATCAGCGATTCAACACACATTTATTCAGCACCTACTAAGAAAAAAGAACACTGGATAAAACTAAGAAGAAAAAGTCCCTGTTCTCAAGGAGTTTACATTCTACTAGAAAGACACACAACTCATTCACACATAAGTCAATCCAGTGTATATAGAAAGTAATTTCGAAAGAAGAAAAAGCTGGGGGGGAGGGGGGAAGGGTGGCACACCTGAGCTGTACTTTAAAGGAACTAGATTCTAAGAAGCAGTGGTGAGGAGGGTGTTCCAGATCATCTGTGCTGAGGCTAGAAATAGGAGACAACTAATAAACCACTGTGGGGGCAATTTCAGGAACTCTTGGGCAGGGGAATAAGAAGAAATAAGACTGGAAAAGCAGGTAGGAGCTAGATGGCTCTAAATTTTGCATTATATCCTTGACAATAGGGAAATAATCTCTCTATGGAGCAATAAGATTCACCGCATTAGGGAATATGCCCAAGTTTCTCATTGTATAAGCCACAAATGACCAAGGTAATTAAAGGATCACATGTGTAGAACTGGAAAGGCCCTCACAGATGATCTAATTCAACTTCCCCATGTTACAATGAATTAATGAGGTAAAGGAGGTTAAGAGACTTGCCTAAGGTCACATCGGTAGTAAATAAAGTTTGGCAAGAACTCCACTTCCTAATATAGATATGGTTTAGTGGAAATAACAGTACTTACTCATTCTCAGGCCTCAGGCAATGTCTCTAAAACCTCAGAACCTCCAACACCTCATCTATTCAATAAAGAACCCCATATCTAAGGCTACAAGGGACCTCAAGGTCATCTACTCTAACTTCTGTATTTTAAGAGATGAAGAACTGTAGTTCAGTAAGTGATATAGGTAGTAAGTGGCAAAGCTAGGGATGTAAGAAATAGGCATTTATATAGCACCTACTGTGTGCCAGAGGCTATGCTAAGTACTTTTTAAAAAATATCTCATATAATCCTCACAAGAACCTTGTAAGGTTGGCACTATTCTCCCCATTTTACAGTTGAGGAAACAGGCAAACAGAAGTTAAATGATTTGCCTAGGGTCACACAGCTACTAAGTGTCTGGGACTGAATTTGAACTCAGGTCTTCTTGACTCCAGGCCTAAAGCCCTTTCCAGGGTCAGAATTAGGTAAAATCAGAGGTGTCAAACTCTCTAGCTCCTGCAAACATCTGGAGTGTGGCCAAACTCAATTAAAATGTAACTGGGAAATGTTTAACAAGATAAATAAAAATACAACAAAGATAATGTTAATTTACAGTTTTGTAAGTCAATATGCCACCCACGGGGATATATCTCAATTTGAATTTGACTCTAGTGGGCTGGATAATCTCAAAGATCTTCTAATTCAAAGATCTTCTAATTCTAATTCTAATTCTAATTCTAATTCACAAATTCAAATTGTCTATAATAACTGTCAGGAGGTTTAGTCCTTTACCCAACTCCATTACAATTCTAACACGGTCTTATGGACCAATTTAATACTAACATTATTTTTTTTTAAATATCAAATGAAAATGCTGTTTTTTCCTGATATTATATTTTAGTGTTAGTCCTCATCTACCTCTAAACCTGAGGGTTGATAAAGTACAGCATTAGCTAATTGAGACAGGTGGTGTGTAGGTTTTAAGAGTAAATATTCCAAGGTACAATGATCAATTTCCCCTCCAGAGCACTAGGTAAACAGGGGGTTTGATTATCCCTCAGAAGCTCTCTGCTACACGTTTCCTTCAGTGGGCACCAAACCACCCAAATAAACAGGGCACCCGGTCATGGGTGATTTACTTACATAGTGACTGGAGTCTTTATCATCCACCTTTCTTTTTTTGATGTCACTGGAATATTCTGGTCCATTTCTACGCTTATCTGTTCCTCTTAGGCTATCAGGTACCAAGAGGGAATTACTCTGCCAAGACACAAAAAAAAAAAAAAAAGCCTATCAAAAATTTCTTCAAGATTTCTTTGTTCTTTGTGAACTTCAAAATGGGACATGACAGATGCTTTGGGAATGTGATACCTAACACAGCCTTTTATTCCATTTAATTCAAGTCGTCATCAAAAGATTTTCAAAGCAAACATTTAAAGAAGTTCACACATTTTAGAGAAGGGGCTTGGCTTTGCCCAAATCAATCATTTTAGCTGGTTGACTTTGCACCTTACCATTCAGCTTCCCATTCAACTCAATTCATTGTTAGACAGAAAAAGCTCACAAATTTATTCATAAAAATACATTTTGGGGCTATATTTGTAGTGATTTCCTGGTTGGGAGCAAAAAAAGGAAAAAAAAAAAGGCAAATGAACTAAAACTTGGAAGACACAACCTTCCTAGGCATTTTGATGAACACAAAGTGTTGCCAGAATGACACTGAAAACTCTTCAAAAGGAGATGGGTGTGGCTAACAATTTAGCTTCCTAAAAGACAAATTACATTTTCCACCACAATAACGAAGAAGCCCAATCCAATTCCTCCCAATTTACTGCTGGAAATAAGATTTGGCGTTTCCACCATTAATATTCAACTCACCGACAGCTCTGGAATTCAAGAACAAAACCAAACAACAACAAAAAAAGTGATTCTGTCACAGTGAATCTTAAATAAGGAGACCAGCCTCCCCAGCACAAAAGACAAGAGCAAAGACTAATCTTTTCCACAAACTACACAGCCTCCTTTCATTCAGATATGCTAAGTACAAACTGTTGACTCAAAGAAAACAGGCATTTTAGATATTTTGGGGTCACATGCCCTGATTCCATATGCCCTCAATCCCTACCTCCCCTCAGGCTAAAGCATTACAACATGTTACAATGAGTTCTTTTAAAGTGCAGGATTAGCATATGCAAGAGCGCAATTTGTTCAGTGCTGTGTTCAGACCATTAAGAAAGCAGAAGGGGTGGGGGGTGGGGGGGAGTGAGAGTAATGCCGTTCTTTCACAAAGCTACCCCCCACCCCCTTCTAAAAGAGGGCCAGAGAATTAAGAGTAGGGAAGTTAAGAGGCAATCCACATTTGCATACCTTTCCTTTTTTTAAAGGTTTTCCTCTTTAAAAACAAACTTCAGATTATAAGGCTTTGGTTTCCAGAGGGCAAATATTTTATAGTGCATTTAAAAAGCTGTGAATATTCATTCCTTTTGTTGTGATGATTCAGTCCAGTCTGCCTCTTCAAGACCCCATGAGCAGTTTTCTTGGCAGAGATAATGAAGTGATTTGCCATTTCCCTCTCCAGTTCATTTTACAGATGAGGAAACTGAGGCAAACAGCTGGTAAGCATCTGAGGCCAGATTTAAACTCAGGAAGATGAATCTTTTTGACTCCAGGCCACTCTATCCACTGCACCATCTAGCTGCTTACCAGAACAGAAGGCAAAGCAGAGAAGGTGGGGTAGGGGCACACAACATCCAGTTCGTTGGGCTCTGAATGACTCCCCCCTGAAAAACCAAAGATGCCACCATGGGAGCTTTCTAGTCCTCTTAAATATTAACACTCAACCACAAGAAGCAACAGGAACAGGAGGAGGAGGAGGAGGAGGAAGAAGTAGAAAAGAGGGAAGTGCAGGCAATCAGAATCCTCTTTGGCCTGCTTCAAGGGGCTGTATCTGAAAGCTAGCTCCAAGCCCTTTTATTCATGACCGCTCAAGCTAAACAAATGCCAAGGAGGCTTACATAAAAGCATAGGGGACAGGGGCCCAGTGCAATTTAGTCTAAAGAAACTCAAAGTAATGTCTTCACCACAGTATTTTGTGGCTGAAAGGTGGCCTTGTTGGATCAATGAACTAATTACCTTGAAAAAATGTGTGCTGGAAAATAACTGGTCTGTGGCCAGATCCCCACCCTGAGAGCTTGGGGGGGGGGGTGTGGAAGGAGAAAAGGTGGAAATAATCAAATGTGAGCTCAGTATGCAAAGCTGGCTTCCAACAGGTTGCTTAGTCAATATGTCAATGCTCCTCTCCACTAGGTGAAGAGGTACATCTGTGGGAAATCATTACTTTATACAAGCAACATTATGCCTCTCCAACAGGAACAATGAGTACAACACGGGAACCCACCAGAAAGTACTTGTGAGAGATTCAAAATATAGGAACTTGGTTCTGAGCAATAAGGCGGCAGAGGAAAAAAAAAAAAGCCCAAATACTAGGTTCCCACTACAACAGGTCTTTGTTGAGCCCCTCCAAATACATAAACTTAATGCTCCTTTCTGAATGGCCTAAAACAGTTTTTTTTTTTAAATTACAGCTGGTCTAATTAACCTGCCTAACCATCTGCAAATTGGCCACTTTCAGGCTTTAAAAGATCACAATCACAAAATCTCACGGTAAGTCAAATGAATTTATAGTTAATAGGCCTCAGGATCTTAACACTGTGCCTAACAAATAGTAAGTACTTAATAAATACTTGTAGACTTGATTTAGAGTCTGATATAGGCTTGAAAATCCTTGGCTAAGGATTCCTGGTCAGGAGTACTCAAATTCATAGCACAATAATGTCTAACAAGTTCTGCCAGTAGAATCATATCAAGAATAGCCCATATTCCTATCAATGTCCCATCTAAAAGTAACTGAGAGGAAACAGTTCATTTTGTCTTTCATTCCTCTGAATTTCCTTAATTTTGTTTTGTCTCTGATTTCATTATTTCTGATATAAGCAATTTAACTAGGGATGATGAAAGCACTTCCACTCAGTCACTACTGCCCTTAGAAATCAAAAGCAAGTAAATAGACAATTTAGTTTATAAAATATGTACGTTTATTATTTATTTAAAGGGGTAAGTGGGGGGAGAAATCATAGACTCTGGAGTCAGAGGACCTGGATTCAAATTCAGCCTTGGGTGATTATTGCATTACCTGTGCTACCCCTAAAGCAAATCACATTTAATCTCCCTGGGTCTTATTTTCCTCACCTGCAAAATAAGTTGGTTGGGCTAAACAGGCTCTGAGTTCCTACTAGCTCTTGACCTATTATGCTATGACCTATTATGCTATGACTCAAAAAATATCAAAAATATCAAAAAATGAACACTAGATTCCTTGTACACGTATTAATGTGCCTTCTCCCCTTTTCCATGGTTTGGCTTCATCTGAATAGTCATTCTGTCATTTTGAGACTTTTTACACATAATTTTGAAAGAACCTAAAACTGAATATTAAATGAATACACTTTTAAAAAAAAAATTTCCCCTGAAATACTCTAGACATGGAATAAAAATAAGTTTGCATTAATATTGTGTCTTAAGGTTTGCAAAGCACTTTTTATAAATGTTATTTCATTTTATCCTCATAGTCCTGGAACATAGGTGGTACTATTATTTTCATTTTCCAAGGAAGAAAACTGAGGCAGACAGAGGTTAAGTGACTTGACTAGGGCCACACCAAGGGTAAATGTCTGGTGAATGATTTAATTCCTAAGTCCAGCATTCTCTATTCCCAGGCACCCTCAACTTGAAACCACAGAAGTGTAAAAGAGAAAGGAAAAGATGAAGAAATTGTCTTTAGATGTGAAGTTATTAGAAGAGATCAATATATAAAATTAAATAGTGTCTCTCTTTAAACTTCATATTCTAATGTCTTTATACTTAGATAATAACACTGTCACAGATTCTACATGGGTCTTTTATATACACGTTAAACTTATTATAGACATCCATGGTCATTTTAGGCATATTGTTGAATACTATACATAGACCAGTTAGTCATCTTCTTAAGTTGTACATCACAGTCCCTTCAGATTTGTAAGAGTTTGCTTTGATCATTCATTCATCTCAACATACCCAAATATAAAGACACAGAAATTAATATTTGAGAACCCCATATGATAAAGGACTCATCTTACAAAACATTCTAGCTCCATTTGGTGCTCTGCCTTCCAAAGGCCACACTATATGTTGATGTTTTTAAAATTAAATCTTAGTTGAACCCATGAACTGTAGGCAATTACTAAGATTAGATGCAAAAGATGTTTTGGGAAGAGCTACAAATACCAACTTTTTTACAGAAACATGAATTTAGAGCTAAAAAGGGTCCTTTAAAATCTAAAAAATAATAATTACTAGCATTTATATATTTAAGGTTTGCAAAGCACTTTACCTCTATTACCTCATTTGAGCCTTCTAACAACCCTGTGAAATGGTTATTATCATCAGTGGCTTGCTCTGAATGTTAGAAAGGTAGTAAATGTGTGAGACAAGATTCAGAGTTAGGCTTTCCAGACCCAAAGACCAGTATTGTATGCACTCTGGCACATAAGTGCCCTATTCCCTCATTTAACAGATGGGGGAAACTGAGGGCCAAGAGAAGTGAACTGACTTGTTGAAAGTCACACAAGTAGTAAGCAGCAGGACTAGGATTTGAACCCATGTTCTCAGAGTTCAGATCCAGTGCTCTTTGTACTGTATTACATTTCCTCTGTTATTTTATTTTGCAAAATAAATCAATTTTGCCTTCAAATAAAACTATTATGTGTCCCTGCCCCTTGAGCAATCTATTTTTGGTTCCTACAAACCTGCAACTTATAATAGCACATGCTGAGCTACACAGATCTTTGGACCCAGAGATAACACACCTGAAAAAGATCAAAGTAAGGGGGAAAAGATCCATATATAGAGTAGGTCTTTTTATCATGGCAAAGAACTGGAAACCAAGGGGGTGCGCCCAATCAATTAGGGGAATGACTGAACACACTACAGTATATGAATGTCATGGAATATTACTGTTCTGTAAGAAATGATAGAGATGTTTTCAGAGAAACCTAGGAAGACTTGTATGAACTGACGAAATGTAGTGAGCAAAATCAGAGCATCAATATTATGAAAGTGGAAAAATTCCGAAATATTTAAGAACTGTGACCAATTGTGATAACCAACCAAAACTGAGAGAAGCTAGGATGAAGAAAAGACAGCCCACTTCCTGAGAGGTG